TTTTTATAACATGCATTCCCATAAAATATTTCTTAATTTTTTTTATATAGGATAGTTATATTTATAACCTACATCCTCGTGGAAACATTTCTTAACTTCTTCATTTAGGGTGACTATATTTATAACTTATATACCCATGTGAGATAGCTGTATATATAAGCATGTAGCCTTTATTTACATGAATTGAGTTTTAATTTTTTTATGAGATAACTATATATATAAATTATATACACATTGAATTGAATGCTTCTTAACTTTTTTATGTGAGATATTAAAACCTTAAATATATTTTTAAAAAAATTTTAAATTGATTTAAGTTAATCTATATAATTAAAAATCCAATTCTTTAATTAAATCAACCATCAAACTAAATTTAATAACTATATTCACACATCCCAGTATAATGAGGACTACTTTAAAACATAGATATAAAACCTAATAAGCTCGGGCGGGTTGCCTAGAAGCCCGAGTGACCCAAAATAATTCTGTTATGACCCATTTTTTATAGTTTTTTTATAAATCTATAAAATATAAAGTTATTTTGTGAATATTTTACTTCACATATTTTTTTATAACCTACATCCTCATAAAATGTTTCTTAACTTTTTCATGTAAGATAACTATATTTATAACATATATCCCCAAGAAATATTTCTTAAACTTTTCATGTAGGATAACTATATTTATTGCCTATATACTCATATGAGATGGCTATATATATATATATATAGCCTCCATTCACAGGAATTATTTTTTTTAATTTTTTTATAGGATAACTATATATATAAATTATATACACAAATATTTTTGAACTTTTTTATATGAGATATTAAAATCTTAAATATATTTTTTTAATTTTTTCAGGTTGATTCAACTCAATCTATATAACCTAAAACCCAACTTCTTGACTGAATCAATCGTCAAGCTAGATTTAATAAGAGTATGTTTATTTTTTAGGTAGTTTTTGTGATTGTAGTTTAAAAAAAAATAAGTTTTAAAAAAAGTACAGTTAGTTGGATTTAGATACATATTTGATAAAAATTATGGTTGAAATTTATGTGTAACAAAAAATATGTATCAAATGTTCGGTAGAAGTATGGTTACGGTTTCTTTTCAAAGTATTTTTTACTTGAAAATGTATCAAAATAATACTTTTATATATTTTTTATGGTTAAATTTTTTTATATATTTTTTTATTTTAAAAAATTATTTTTGATATTAGCGCATCAAAATAATTTAAAAATAAAAAAATATATCAATTTGAAGTAATTTTTTTAAAACGCTTTTGAAATATAAAAATAAACAGGATTTTATAAAATTCGGTTAAAAAATATATAAAAATTGTTGTATATAAACTATGTTTCAAATTTAATTTTTTAATAGACCTCACAGTATAAAATACAATTTAATTTATTATATTTATTTCATCATAAATATAAAAACAGGTGAAAAACAAATGCAGGCTAACTATACTTTTAAACAATTAGATGGTTCGGACTAGTTTTGTTGTCAAGTGAATAATTCTACGCATTTAAAATTTCCGACAAGGAGTGGATTGAAAGTACAATTATTTGGACAAGAAGTTCCGCGAGCTTGACGGGGTCCCTTGCCACGGAGACATGTGAAGTCCTACGTGCCATGCACGACCTGTCCTGGGTGCCAAGAGAGTTTACCTTGTCCCTCTTTGAAGCACACTAATCTGGGAGGAGTCAACGAGAGCCATCTATACGGAAATACTATTCATCCTGCATGGAGTGACAAATTAGAATATCCGGTTAGGAAATTTCAAATAAATAATAAATAAAAAGTTGAAATAGCATGGTGATGTTGTTTGCCACTCACTGATATCATTATATAATTAAATTTATTAGGAGTTAATTAAATTCAGTTGTCTACAAGTACAATACTAGCAGATTCTACACTTCAATAGATTTTAACTAAAATTCGAATTTTAACAACTACAATTTTTTAATTGTAATTATGCTTAGGAAATTTACTATTACACTTCAATGATAATCCTACTAAAAGTCTTGGCAATGTTGTGTTGTTAATTTTTTTAAAAAAAATCAAAAGCCTTGATTTTCCAATTGTGTTCAACTTATTTTCTGACAATATATTTTAAAATTGATTGGTTAATAATTCCTAAACAAATGGAGTCTATATGAATTTCCACCAAACCTTAGCTATCAAATTAAATAAACAAAATTCATATGCACATGTCATTCCTAAAATTGTGTTTATTAGTGTACTAAAATAAAAAAAAAATAAAAAAAAATTAGTTAAAGAGAAAAAACAAAAATATAAAATATAAAATAAATCTATTTTTGAAATAATTTTAGAATGAATTTATATTGATTCAAAACATAAAAGACATGATAACATTTTTTTTTTATCTCAAGACAATAATCAAACAGAATTAAAATAAACTTAATAATAAATAAATATTCAACTAATTATGAATAAAATTTAGTATTTCATGTAATTATAAACAAAATGGCATTCCATAAAAGAATGCCTCTTTAAACACTTTTTTTTTTTAAAACACATTTTTTACTAATTTTTTTAATTCTTTATTTGGCTGACATCAATGTAACTGCTATTAATTTCTATATACACTCGAGTATTTTGTTGAATCAAACATTCCATGAAGCAATAAAAAAAAAATATACGAACCTTAATGTTTTCTTTATCATTTATGTCAATAGACTAATTTTGGCAACTGACAAATAATGGTTATATACGAGTGTTGTGATTATAGATAATTTCTCATGTTTTGAAGGGCGGGTTTTTTGTTTTTTGTTTTTTTTTAAGAAAGGGTTTGTTAATAAAAAAGAGAGAGATTGATGTCAAGTAATTGTCTTAATTAATTATTTTAAAGAGTATTATTAGTTGTGATTTGGAGTTAAAAAAAATATCATTAATCCGAAGAAGATGAAATATGGTCAAGAAAGGGAGGGAGAGATACTTTTGTAAATGACCGATTGCAAAGAGTATTTTAACACTAATTGTCTTAGACGATATTAAGAGCGTATTCTTTTATGTTAATCTAATACTTTCAGTAAAATTTAATAAATTCATCTGAGTGCTAATCTCATATTTGAACTTAGAAAATCAAGTAACAAAAAATACATATTTAACTACCACATCACTCCTTTAACTTATTTTTGAAAACATTTGCTCATGAGCTAGACTTTTATCTTAATTAAGGGTGAAGAATGAGAGTAGTTAATATGAGGCATTTACATGCATAATATTTTTAAAATATATTTTCATTTTCAATATACTAAATATTTAAAAAGATTGATTTCCAATATTTAACTTAATTTTTTTTCTTTATAGAAAATAAAGATCAAATTAAATTAACACATCATGAGTCCTCCGTTCAACAAGATAAAAATTTAGTTTAATATAATTCACTATATATATTAATTTAATATGTATTGTAACTAATTAATTGGTTATATGTAACATTATTATACTCATATAAATATATATTTATTATTAATAAAAATTTAATTTATCTTTAATATTCATATAATATTAAATTAATAAATTTATAATAAAGATAAAGTTCATATGATAAAAATATTTTATTAATGAAATTATAAAGTCGTTATGATTATGAGATTTATATTGCATTACAACATTGTTCCTAAAATATTCTTAATCGATATTCTCTTAAATACCTAATATTCATTAGAGTTTTAGAGACTAGTACATATTATATTATTTTTTTATAAAAAAAATAACTATTATGATAAGTTTAGATAGAAAGGATATTTAAAACTAATATATAAATATTTATAATAAAACATGTACACTAAACTAATCCACATGAAAATCCTATTAATTATCTTTGAAGTTCATTTTAAAAAAATATAGATACAACTATAAAAAAAAATCTTAAGTAAAGATATTTTTATCATTTTTGATCTATCATGGATTTTGTCTTTTATTTTCTCTTTATATTTTAGCCCAAAATATAACTAATAAGATCTCCTGGGCACCAACTATTTCTAAAAAAAAAAATAATTAAAAACAGCAACAACTATCAAAATTATAAACACCAACCCTCTATTCATTGATAAGTTTCTTGTTTGATTGCAATGGTCCAGAGAAACGGTCCCGCTACGTGAAGCTTCCCTTCCCAATATGGATGGGCCCTCCTATATATATTTGAAGAGAGATTCGGTCCAATCTGTAGATCATCATCTCCCCTATTTTCAAGATTTCCATCTACCATACGTGGATGAAAATTCTAAATTTTAATTGGCCAATCATCCCAAAGAAAAAGCTTAATTGTATAGAGCATGCATAGGTTTTATTTTTAGAATACAATAGATAATTAATAATTAATATTTTTTGAAGCATTTGTTTTTCTCAAAAAACGATATCTAATTCAAATCTTCTTCGTTATTGTTCATTAGTTATTATTATCTAGATAATTTATAGTTTTTTATATTAAGATCATAAATGAATTATTTACTTTTAAATCAAAAGCTATCAAGATGAGTGCTAAACTAATCATCTAAAATCCATAATTATCTCTTAGCATAATTCAAATCAGTAACATTAATCAGCTCTAATAAATATAAAAATTATATATTAATCCTCAATTTATTATCTCGGAAAAGAAAAAATAAAAAAGATTATCCTATATTCCTATTTGGTGTTCAAGTGACGACGCGGTCTTGAGTTATTAATATGAACCGTGTTGTGTTTTTCTATTTTGGTACCTTGGTACAGTTCGTCACCGTGTTGTGCTGTCGTTTATTTATTATTATTTATTTATTTTGTTTTCAAAAATACGCTTTATGAGGAGTCGCATGGGCTCAAGCACACTGTACGGGAAATAACGGAAGCTGGCTAGGTGGTAAAGTTCCCAAAGGTAATGGCATGCTTGTAATAATAAGAAGTTGCAAGGGCTCTATTATACCCGCTACAATATAAATCAAGGATGGTTCTAACAAGAGCAGACACCATGCACAACACCCCCAGCGATATGGGCACTTTGAAGTCTGAAAAAATGTTTCCAGGGGCGTTTTTCTTCCAAAGCCTCTTCTTCTTTTTCTTTCGCATTATCTCTAGACAGTTCAGGAACCCAAAAGGTCTGCAAAGAAGTTTGAGCAATGTCCATGCAGCCCATGGCAAATACCAGAAGTATGCTTCTCTTTCTTTTAGATCAGACTTGTCAGCCAAAACAATGGTGTTTAATGTGGAAGGAACTTTGCTGAAATCATACTCTTTGTTTCCTTACTTTATGCTTGTGGCTTTTGAAGCTGGAAGCTTATTAAGGGCCCTTATTCTCTTTCTGTTATACCCATTTATTTGCTTAGTAGGTCAAGATATGGGCTTAAAGATAATGGTAATGGTTTGCTTCTTCGGGATAAAAAAGGAGAGCTTAAGGGTTGGAAGTGCTGTTTTGCCGAAGTTTTTCTTAGAGGATGTTGGGTTGGAGGCATTTGAGGAATTGAAAAGAGGAGGGAGGAAAGTGGCCGTGAGTGATCACTTCCCTCAAGTCATGATTGAAAGTTTCCTGAGAGACTACTTGGATGTTAACTGTGTTGTTGGGAGGGAGCTAAAGACGGGCTGTGGGTATTTTTTGGGACTCTTGGAAGAGAAGAAGAAAGAAATGCTAAACTTGGAGGAGATACTCGGAAAGGATAGTGTTATTAGCCATGATATCATTGGCATTAGTCAGTTAAATAGCTCTCTTGATCATCCTTTATTTTCCCATTGCAAGGTGAGCTTTTCTTTTTCCGAACATCTTCATATATATAAATATCCTTTCTTCTTCTTTTTTTTCTTGAGCCGTAAACCAACATTTTCCTGCATTTTCCTTGTGTATATAAGCAATTGAGTCCTTTGTTAAGTAATATTTGCCTATATATGCATGTTTTGAGAATATATTTTATTAACAATTAACGGAAAGGGACAATCAATTGTTTCTTTATTTATATATAATAAAGAAGCATTGATTTGATGATAATATTGTTCATTCTTTAACATTTCCTTTATTCTTTCGTACATTTTTATTTACTTTTCAACTTTGAGACTCGTTTATGAAGGAAAATTGAAAATAACTACTTGAAATTTCTGCTGGTTACATTTTTTTTCGCTTCCTTGCTTGACTACTCTGAATTTCTCGTCCTTAATGCTGCTTTCTTGCTTTCTCACAACAGGAGATTTACTTGGTCAGAAGGGTAGACAAGAGAAGCTGGCAACACCTCCCAAGAGACAGATACCCTAAAGCCCTTATTTTCCACGACGGTAGACTTGCCCTAAGACCAACCCCACTGGCCACTCTAGCATTATTCATGTGGGTCCCTTTTGGCTTCGTCCTTGCCTTGATTAGGGCCGCTGTGGCTTTAACTCTTCCATACAGCATGTCCATTCCCATACTGACTTTCACTGGGGTTAAAGTAGCGATATCAAAACCCAAATTGTCTCCTTCAGTGCTTCGAAGCTCAAAAGAAAATGAATCCAAAAAAGGCCTCCTTTATGTCTGCAATCACAGAACATTACTAGATCCTCTGTACCTTTCTTTCGCATTAAAGAAAAATTTCACTGCTGTCACATACAGCCTTAGCAGATTATCGGAGATACTGTCACCAATCAGGACCGTTCGCTTAACTCGTGATCGTGAACAAGATGCAAAGATGATGGAGAGACTGTTAAACCAAGGGGATCTTGTGGTCTGCCCAGAAGGTACCACATGTAGAGAGCCCTACCTCTTGAGATTTAGCCCGTTGTTTGCTGAGATGAGCGATGACATAGTGCCTGTGGCTTTGGACACGCATGTGAGCATGTTTCATGGCACAACTGCCGGTGGGCTCAAGTGTCTAGACCCCCTTTTCTTCCTCATGAACCCTCGACCAAGTTACACTATTCAGTTGCTCGACGGCGTATCTGGACTTTCCACATGCCAGGACAGTGATAAATCAAGATTTGATGTTGCCAATTACGTGCAGGGTGAGATTGGCAAGGCATTGACCTTTGAGTGCACCAAGCTTACAAGAAGAGACAAGTACTTGATTTTAGCTGGCAATGAAGGCATAACTTGCAGCCAACGGTGAAATCCAAATTTTCCTAGCCAGATTTGAGCGTCGAGAACGTTCAAATTTGTTGTATGTCAAGGGCACCATTGAATTGTTTTATTGTTGTGGGCAGATAGGTGGCACTCTATTTGTTTATTTTAGTTAGTTTTTGTTTTCATTTTCTATAGCCATCTGTAAAACATCAGGCTAATGTCATATGATGTGCCTTTATTAAATCACTCTATTTGTTTATTGTTGGGGGCAGATTGGTCTCGCTTAAGTTTTGGACAGGATGTAACTATATGTTAGAACATCCATGTGACATGTTAGAATGATGTAACTATATGTTAGAACATCCATGTTACTAGAATCAAACTCTAAAGTTGTTCTTGTGAGATAATTTGAGTGATTACTAAGTTCATAGGTTAACACTACACTATGGCACAAATTAAAAAAAAAAAAAAAGCGTAAGAAAACATATTTAGATTATAAAGAGTTATTTGAAATTATTATTAAAATATATTTATGTTATAAAGAGTTATTTGGTATTATTATTAAATCTGATTTAATAGGTTAATTTAAAAAAAACTTACTTGATTTTTTGTCTAGTTTAGAATTAAATTAAATTATATAAAAATTATTTTAATATGATTCAGTAAACTTAGGAGATTCAAAGCCAACCCAGATGATTGGTAAAAAATGTAGTTTAACTTACAAATTTCAATATGATTTTTTTATATAATATTAAGATGATGATATATTTAAATGATTCGAACTTTATAATATAACTTACAAAATCTATGTTAGGTGATGAATTTTACTAGGTTTGAGAACTTTTTTTTATAAATATTTTTTTACTTAATTATATAATAATAAAAAATAGATTATTGTAAAATCGAGCATAAATCAAATATTGAGATATTTTTTTAAGACTATAATAACTTTAAAGAAATCAAACTAAATAATTTATAAAAATAAATCTAAAATAAAATTTAAAAAAGAAAGAGAGAGAGATGATGGTTGCACCCCAAGTTTTTTTAGTATATAAAATATAATTTATATGATTTAAATATTATTTAACTTTATTAATTAAAGTAATGACTTGGTCTAAGATATTTCTACCCCTAATATTTTCTTTTACATCAATTTTTTTTTCCTAGCCTTCATTCTAGCGCAGACAACTAACGTAGTAATAACTATGTTAACTATCGTGCTGCTTTATTTTGTTTACCAAGAGTTTCCATATATTTCTTTTTTTTTATTTTTTTAATAGGAAATTTTCATCTACTAATCTGGCAAAATAACTAGACTGTGTTTGTTTGCTGAAAAGTAAAAAATTATTTTTAAAATTTTTCTGTATTTATTTTTCATTAAAAAAGTTGGTTAATAGAAAATATTTTCAAGTTAAAAAATATTTATCTTGGTTTTCAGGAAAGTGTTTTCCTAAAAAATTTAGATAGAAAATATTTTTTGATAAGTTGTAAAAAATTTAAAATTATTATTATTTGCTAATTAATTTTTAAGATTTGTTCCTCATTATTGTAATAAACTTGAAAAAATTAAAACATTATTAATTTATTTTTCAGCTTCTTTTCCATGACATAACCAAATATTGAAAAGTGTTTTCCAACTTATTTTTCATTTCACTACCAAACTTAAAAAAATAATTCACTCGGAATTCACTTCCCAAAAAAAAACTACTTTCCAACAAACAAACGAGACCCTAGTGTTTTTTCTTTTATTAAAAGTTTGTTAAGCATCGTAGCCCACCTTCATTGTATAACAACCAAATGAGATGTCATGCCCGTGCGTTACCACGAGCTGTGAAACAAATATTCTTGATAGCATTATAATTGCAAACCAGTTTTAGATAATTAATAGAAACTAAAGGTGTGATGGAATCAATATTCCATTATATAAAAAAAAGAAGAAGTTATGTTGGTGATAAAAAACTTAGAGACTAAATATAATGATTTGTAGCAATCAATAATATTTTATGAGAAAAGACCTAACTTGAGGTTGGGCGGTGACGCATTCAGACCCAACTTCAAGGTGGGTGTGGACAGGTGGGCGTGAACGCGTCCAAACTTGGAGTTGGGTATTGGTGCGTCCAGACCTACAAACTTTTAATTATAATAAAAATAAAAATAATTATAACACAAATAATATAATTTTTAATATTAATACTTTTAATCATAATAAAAATAAAAATAATTATAAGACAAATAATACTATTTTTATTATAAGTAATAATATTATAATAACAATAAAAAGTGGACACTACACCACATGGTGCTTGGTCTGCCCTTGCACCACGTGGTGCTAGGGTGACCCTTCACTAGCAATCAGAATCGAGCGCCAAGTAGTGCTTGGGAGAGCTTGGGTAAGCCAAGGTGCGCCAACCCCATGTACAGACCCGAGCACCACGTGGCGATGGGGATAGCTTGGGGTGAGCCAACACATTTAGGTTATGGCAAAGGACCCAATTATCTTGGGTTTGATGAAGGGTCCAATTATCTTGGGTATGGCATCATACCCCAGCTTAATGGGTTTTGCACTGTCCTAGCACCACATGGCACTAGGACGACCCCTCCCTAGCAATCAAAATCGAGCGCAATATGGTGTTTAAGAGTGCTTGGGTGAGCCACGACACTCCAACCCCATATACAAACCCAAGTGCCATGTGGCGATGAGAGTCTTGGGGTGAGCTAACTCATTTAGGTCATGGTATAGGGCTTGATTATTTTGGATCTAAAGCAGGACCCGATTATCTTGAGTCCAGCATTATAATCCCTTTATATTGGGTCTTGATAAAGGATTTTACATATTTTATTTTTTATTATAATTAAAAATATTAATAGTAAAAATAGTATAATTTGCGTTATAAATATTTTAATTTTTCTTATAATTAAAAGTATTGCTCTTACAACTAGTATAATTGGTGTTACAAATATTATTATTTTATTATAATGAATAGTATTTATGTTAAAAATATTATTATTTTTATTAAATTTTTAAATATTCATATAAAAATAGTATTATTTTTGCTATAAATATTATTATTTTATTTATAATTAATAGCATGAATAGTAAAAATATTATTAGTTATAGTATAAATATTAGTATTTTTATTAGAAATAATAATATTATAATAACAATGAGAAGCAGAAACCTGGCACTGAGGCTAACCTAGCACCACGTGGCGTTAAGGTTGCAATAGCCAAGTAGGGCTTTTGCCATGACACGAGCACCAGATGGTGCTCAGGTCAGCCCCTGCGTATTAGCACTCGGGTCTGCCATGTGGCGCCTGAGATTTACAATATTCATGTACAATATAGTATTATTTGTACTTTAAATATGATTATTCTATTTATAATTAATAGCATGAATAGTAAAAATATTATTAGTTGTGGTATAAATATTAGTATTTTTATTATAAGCAATAATACTATAATAATAATGAGAAGTGGAAACTCGGTGCTTGGGTTGCCCGTGCGCCACGTGACACTGGGGCTAACCTAGCATCATGTGGCATTGGGGCTACTATAGCCACTCGAGGCTTTTTCCATGACCCAAGCAAGGTTAGGTACGAGGTCAGGGTCCAACCTAAATGAGTTTGGGTGTGACGAGGTCAGGGTCCAACCTAAATGGGTTTGGGTGTGAGCCCTGCCCTATCCATAACCCAAATAGGTTTGGTTTGGGTCGGAGTGCAGACCCAATAGAGTTAGGGGTTGGGTCCTTCCCAGTGCGGACCTCAAAGGGGTTGGGGGTGGGGTGGGGTCGGAGCGCGAACCAAAGGGTTTGAGGGTTGGGTCTATGTACTAACCCAAGGGCTTTTAGGTGTGGGTCCCTACTATTATGAGCCAAGAGGATTGGGGGATAGATTCATGGTCGAACCTAAAGAGGTTGCGGTTTGGGTCCTTCCATGGGCGGGCACATGAGTGTTTGTTTTGGGCTTTGGGTTTGTGTCCGAACCCAAGACAATTGAGTTTCGACACTTGACCCAATAGAAAGAGGTCTTGCCAACAAACCCCACTAGCTTGGTTGTGCAACTAGCTCACGGGTATGGCCCTAACACTAGGGCATGACAACCCAAGCGTCAGGTGTCCGCAGCTTAGGGCGCAACTCGTCCCCTTTGCAGCATTGAAACTTTTATAGCTGGGAATGGACTGCCTTTGAGCTAAGTGTTTGTTTCTGAAGCTGCAACACATAATACCCCCACAAATTATGCAATCCACAGTGCAATGAGTCTTAGTGAACAATGCTTTTTTTAGCATTATTACAATTCACAGTGCAATGAGTCTTGATGAACATTGATATCCCCGTATGCTTTAGCTTTATATATAATATAATAATAAATTAGAGTGATCACATTTCATTAAAAAAGTTATCAATAAAAAATCTTTTAATGACATAATACATTTTTTAGAAATGTTTTTGGTTTTTTTATATAAAAAGTATGGTTTAAAGTTTTCTATATTTTTTATAGAGAATGCACAAGGAAAAAGAAAGTCTAGTTTAAGAAAAAAATTTACGTTTTAATTTAAGAAAACTTCTCACTTTTTAGTTTCTAGTTTGAAAAAGAAGAGAAAGAGTAGTTGAATTAAGGTGGTTGAGGAAAAAAGTCTCAATTGACACTAATTTAGCCCATGAAAAAAATCGATGTTAGTATTAATGGATTTTATTCAATGATGGAAGTCTCATTTGGTTTTATTTGTCTTTCCCATTACCTAAAATATTGGTAGAGATGAGTTCAGATTTTTTATTTTTAGTTGATTTTGGATCCTTGAACCGATTTTTTAGGTTATTTTAGGCAATATACAGTTTTATCAAAGTGTATGAAGTATTTGGGTTAAATTTTATATTGAAATAAGTTGAAAAATAAGTTTTCAGGTAACAATCTTGTCTCGTGATTTTATAGCCATCATAGTAATCTGAATTTGGGAAAAAGCAAGTGATGTGTCATTTACCATAGAAAGCAATGCATCACTTGCTTATTTTTTTTTTTCAAAAAAGTTAGGGGTAGATGACAAGTCACATGCCCCTTAGAAATAAAAAAAAAAAACTCACTTGAAAAAGAATAAAAAATTAAAGTAAATTAACTTATTTAAATATAAAGAATCATGAAAACTTTGAAAAATAAAAAAAAAAACAATTATCAAAACAAAAAAGATGAAGAAGCTATGATTTCATCCAATCAACTGTGGAATAACAAAACTTAAAAAAAAAAACATTTAACTTGAGCCGATCTAAGCAAG